GATTACTATAATCAGTAAGCATTTTATACTGCTGTTAGTCAGGATATTATCAAACGACATGTTGTAGATGCCAACTATTTGTTTAGGGTCTCCCTCATACAATGATCTGCTGGGCTGTAATCATGTGTATCAGCAGAGGGTTTCAAACAGGAATGGAATAATCCCAGAAGTTATTTTGGTCAGAGGTTTTCAACCCATGCAGTTGTAGAATGACTCGTTTATTTTATTGTCACAGTTAAATAAAACCATCACTCATGTGATAGTGAACTTCCTGAGAAAAAAATAACTACTCTGCTGCTGGTCAAAGAGAAAGATCAATGGGATCTAATTTCCTTCAGAACAGCAGATTTGTAAACTCAGCTGATAAAGTTTGTTAGATGAAAATACATTTATATACTCACAGACCAATTTAGTTTATTTCCCTGTCATGGGGCCTCTGTCACAACACTTCCTGTAGGTACCATCTAGAGGAAGTCTGGCATCTGCTAGTGCTGCAATAATTAATTTTTGGGCAGAAAACACACACGCTAAAACAGAGTTCATGGCAAAGGACAGGATATTTTGACAAAGGTTCAAACAAGGCCACCCTGGGATTTTCACAATGAATGTGAAAGAATGGATGTCAAAAGGTGGAGTAAAGCATAATTGTGACAAACAACTTTGACTTTTATGCATTCATTTGTTATGAATGTCACCGCTGTTGATCTTCAGAAAACGTATTAGCAACACATTTGATAAGAGATCATAATTAAGCTCAATAAAAACTTTAATACATTCTCTGTTCCCTGCCTCTTAAACATGGAACATGAGCGATTAAAATGTTTATAAGAGATCTTTAATGTTTAAAAAAACCAGTCAACAGATTAACCAACAATGAAAATGATCGAAGGCTTCAGCTTTATGACCATCACAAGGAATCTGTTAGCCGTACATATCCAACAATGATACACTAATCTGACTTTGATATCGCAGTCACATAGTGCCACTCCAGTTTTGAAGTTTGTGGGCAAAGGCCCTGTCGAGGTCCCACAGATAAATTGGAACAAGGAAAATGTCTTTGTGAGCGCTGGGTGTCTGTCAGAGCAGGAACTTGGAGGCGTTCTCCGTTGACCTCTGAGGGCAAGGACTTCCCAAAGCCTCTCTGCAAAGCAAAACAACAGCAGACCCGGCAGCTGACAGTGGGACACACCATGTCCGCCTTAAAAACTCACTGCCTCCCCCCCACCTCTCTTCCTCTGTACCATCCGCAAGGGCAAGATGGTAAAGCCCGTAGAAACTGGCAGATCCAGAGAGCTGTAGCTGCAGCTATCACCTTGTCGATATGATCCGTGTGGAATGTGGCAATGCTTTACTGTATGTGAACAGACACGTTTTGTGATGTCAGATACAACAACGGCAAATGGGAGGGTCTAGCCACTGATCCCGACCTGAGAACAGGAATTAATTTGTTTACAGAATGACACGCAGCATGTTGAGCAGGTAAATTACTATTCATACGTATTTGATATTGTGCATATGTCGTCATTGGATGTTAGGTAAGGTTACATGTGAGCATTCATTTGTTTATAACAGATCAAGTATTTTTGATCAATCAGCGACTACAAATAAAATAGAAAATAGTTTGTAGGAGACATTTTGAAGCATATGATCTGAATGCTGAGTGATGTGTACAATAACCACGACAAAACTGTGTAAGAGGCATTAGGTAAGTGCTGGAGTAGTCAGTTGTTTTCATGTTCCTGTTGCTTATTCTGGACATTGTTCAACAAAAGCAACCAGGCCACTCCCACCTGCCCATAAAACACGGCCCACCTCTGAAGCCTCCATCAGCCCCTGAGACGAGATAAACTTCAACCAAGTGAATCATTTAGCAGCACTGGGACATTAGAGCGCGACTGTTTTCCTTGTGAAGATGCAGCGTGTGTGAAAGGGGCTACACACGTCTGCTATGCCGTGTCACATGTTTAGGGGGGGGCATGGAGAGTTTACACTCGTCTAGTGATGTTTGTCCAGCAAAGAGCTGATGTAGAAAGAGTGAGTCACTGCTGAGAGTTAATGGCTTTGGTAAATAAATTAGCAAACATTTAACCAAGACTAGCCATACTTGTTACTAAGCATAGCATGTTTTCTCATGCCTTCATCCACAGAGGCATCGAGGCTTCAACTGCCATAAGTGTTTTCTCGCTGATTTTGCATATAATTTGCATGCCTGACCTGTGGTGGTAGGACCAGTTTTGACTCTCTTCTAACCAGGCATGGGATTCCATGCTGCATATATGTGTGCCACATTTGTTAGAGACCAATGAGCAATTATTTCAACAACAACTACTGATTAACAAACACAGGCCTCATCTGGCTTAGGGAGGACTTTTTTGGTAATTAAAAAAAAGTGGTGGAATATTGACAGGGAAGAACTTGTTAAGGATTAAAACACACACAATTGTAGCAAATAATCTCCCAAAAGAGGCCCAATAGTATGAACTGGAGCGTTTAACATTGGAGCTCTGAAACAATACATTCCTTACACCTCCTCAGCTCATTCCAATATAATGACCAATCAAACTTGCTACCAAGTACTCTGATAAACACAACACACCTTCAGGCTGGAATGTCTGCGGGTATGTGAAAGTAGTATCTGAAAATATCCCTCTGCAATAGGACGTCAACTCTATCAGATGACAGCAATACTGGTGACGAGTAAATGGCCCCGATTGTCCATAGCCTGACTTAAGTGGAAGGAATTTCACATGGACAGATTATCGCATTCACAAGTCTGCCTGTTCTGTACACTCCATCTCATGACACTGTTTTCTGGCTCAAACTGTGTTTGTGTATGCAGTTGTTTATAGGTTATTGCTCAGGGTGAGAAGGGCTCAGAGCCTGCTCTCTTGCCTAAGGAAGGCCATTATTTTAGCACCAATATGCCTTGTGAGCATTTTCTCTCCTTGTTTATACAGTACTGCTATGAACCAGGCAAGTTGTTTCCTCTGTACCACTGCAGCTGCCGTTCCATACGGACCACGTGGCCTCTGTGTAAACATTAGCCAGCTTTAAGTGGAAGACAATGAGGAAATGACAGGACAATGGGGGGGCTACATTTGAAGACATCCAAGGATGGATTTCCAGATGAAACGGAGAGATGACATCATGGCAAAATCAGCTAGTAGGAACATGGAGAGAGAGGCCTGGTAATGCAACACCATACATAAACAGTGGACAGCTGTATTTATAGGAGATTGTCTCATGGTTCTATCTGCCTGCATACATCCTATTATCTGATTTGTAGCCTTTCCCCTGCCCAGCACCCAGCAAGAGATGAGCAGCTTTGGCTTATGAAGCCTTATCAAAACACTCAAGAGCTGTGCAGTTATTACTATTGCTGTGACATTAGTCGACATTAGATGAAAACTGCACCTCCATGCTTGATTAGACATTACCTCATAATGATCAGACCAAGCCAAATGACAGTTTGTGTGTGTATATGTGTGTCTGATTTAGTCAAAATTATAGACAGCTGCCGGGTATTACACAGGCTTACTACCATGTTGTCACTGGACCTCACAGCGGGGGCTATGTAAAACCTGGCAACTGCATTTTCATGTTAACACACATTTCTAAATGATATTGGATTGAGGCTGTAGGCCTATTTCAGAAACCAGGATAACATGTTTTGCCTCCCATGGGTCATAAAAGAGAGGAGAGGTCCAGATGGTAGTGGGGTGCACCTGCTACAACTGGACTCTAAATATTGGAGTTTGACACCACTTGACTCTGATGCAGATATGAACAAAGCAGCAATTTGACTGAGAGGAAACTCGCACACTGCTGTTTCAGCTAAACTCATAAACATAGCAAAACTAAGTGAAAGTGAAGATCACTCACATATCTCCTCAGCTTTTTCTCCGGAGGTGACTTCCTCAGCCAGCCTTGGAAGATGATTTCACCGCCGCTCATATTTGCCAGGGTGTGCTGTCTCTTCTTGCTCTACAACTGCCGTCTGTCACTAGAACATGACGGCTCCTGATCGCTTGTCTGTTCAAAGTGCTGTCGGCGTTTGGCTCTCAGTGCTGGTGCAGTCCGCTCCCTCCATTTGATACAAATCAAAGTTATGCTGTTCGGGGATGTTGCCAGTCGCTCCCGGTGGAACCGTGCGCAACGACCGCCCCGCAAAGCCACACTTGGGGAGGAAAGATAGAAAGGCGCAACTCCACTCTTGGGTATTTACGCACGGCCAGCTGACGAGGAGCCGCGGGGAAACTCAACTGATGCAGGGTGAGGAAGTATCGTAGAGTCTCTGCAGTTTGTTTTCCCAACTCATACCACGCCCACCGAGCCGAGAGAGGGATGGGCTGCGCTGGGATGAACAGGATGAAAGCACGGCCGGCCACAAAGTAGCTCCAAGATCCCAAAAGGAGTGTAAATAATTGAGGAACCGATCGATTTATGATATACTATCTTTAAGGTTCACAAAAAACAAATCTTTGTTTTATTTCGAATACGGAAACGAATCTGATTGCACATTATTGCATCAAGTGTTTTGAATGACTAACCAAATAGTTAAGTATCAGTAACAGCTAACCTATTGTAACGGTGATATGTGTTTGAAACAAAAGGTCAAAGTAAGAGTCAGAAGCTGCTGTTACTGTCTGAATAAATTATTTGATCCACTGGATGGCCTGGGAAAAAAGCACCATCTAGTGGAAATACTGTCAGTTGTATTTGAAAAAAAAAAAAAATGTATTTGGAAGTTTATGCATGTATAAAAAAGGTACTTACATTTTACTTAACACTTCCCTGATATGTGGTGAAAAATATACTTCATTAAGAATTTCTTATTGTTGGGAAATAATTTACAGTTGATTACAAATTAATTCCATATTAAAAGTCCTTTCAAATACCAATGGTCATTGTTTTTATATTTCAGGAGCAGATACATTATAAATCAAATAAATAATGATATCTAAATACCAATAAACCAAAAAATAACTATGACAAGCAAGTATAAATTAAAATCATTTTTATTTGTCGTTAGGCAGACAACCAATTAAAACCTCTACAAGGCTGAAACAGTTTCATAGAACACATGAATGTGAAAACCTAGGGAAGGGGATCACATCTTTGATGTTGTCAACACCGAGGATGCATAGCAAGTATCTCTCAAATCCCATTCCAAATCCACCATGAGGCACGGAGCCAAAACGCCTCAAATCCAGATACCTGCAAATAAATAAAATGTCATTACAGTTATTTGGTGTGTATGGGTGTTTCTTTTAGAATGTTGTTAGTATAAATGTGATTTTTTTACCAGCTGTAGGTGTCTTCTAATCCAGCCCTGGAAAAAAATACACGTAGGGTTAATGTCAGGTGTAATTTAGTTTTCATACAACGTGACATGGGTGGTGAGTCAGGAATAATAAAAAACATATATAGATTATAGTGTCTTTGCAGGCCAGCTAGCACAGTGGGCTAGCACAGTGGGACACTACTGGGATTATGCTTGATCTCAATTTAAATACAAATACATTTGACGCAACTACGCGAATATTGGGAATGCCATGAGGCTTCTAATAAACCTGGAGTTCATGTACATACTGTTGGAGCCGAGCTGTCAGCAGATCCAGCCTCTCCTCCCTCAGCGAGCCCCCACAGAGCTCTCCAACTCCTGGCACAAGAAGGTCCACTGCAGCTGCCTGCACACAAACAGCAGTCAGCGCAGAAATGCAAATCACTGCGATAACCCAAGGGATAATACAAGGTTGGAACGGAGCGGTTAAATCATTGATTGGCTGTGTGTTTTTCACAGCAGAACTACGTCTTACTGTATGCTCAGGATGATCCTGGTTGTCTCTTGCATAAAAAGGCTTGAGATCATAAGGATAATCAGTGACGAACACTGGAATGTTGCCGCAATGTTTCACCAGGTACTTCTCGTGTTCTGTCTGAAGGTCACAGCCCCACTGTGGAAAAGAAGAGCTAAGGTCAAAGAGGAGCTCAGTGGAATGATAGTATCAAATATACAGATGTAGATATTGAAGTATGCTCATTAAGGAGAAAATAATGATGTTGCGCTTACGTCTGTTGGGAAGGCGAAATTCTCAGAGCTGCGGTTTAGGATGTTGATAGCCTCACTGTAGGTAATACTAAAAGTAGATTCAGATACTGTTGATTAAACGCCTTGGACTTCATTCTTTCTTCATTCTTTATAACTTCCATGTTTAAAATAACAAAGACTTACGTAGGGAATCCGTTTCTCAGCATAGCTTCTACAATTTCCTGTAATTGAGATTATAATACAGTGAGATGCAGTTGTGTCTGGTTGGTATAAGGAGCTAGGTTATGTAGCCAAGTTAAATAAGTGTCCTTCAGGACTCACCCTGTGTCCAGGAGTCACATGCTTGTGAAACAAATCCACATCCTCAGCGCAGTGAGCCAAGACATGCTCCGTGGCAGATCTGAACATGCCCTCCATGACCTGTGAGCGGGGCCGGTTTAATAATTAAAGCATTTCTGAATAACTGCGCATAAGGGCAACTTTAAAAGTCACAAAAGGCAAGTGTAAAGTTGAAACTTCAGCAGACGTAAATGGATGTGGTGTGACATAGGTTCACGTCATCCAAGATCCTCATGTTTTATGCATTAGCCAGTCTGTGACGACTATGATTCATAAAAAAGTCACGGGAAAGAGTAAAGGTTACTTCTCTCCTTCATAAAAGTGGTCCCCCCCCTTTCAGATAAAATAAGATGACACATTATAACACTTTGCCAAAAACAAATATCAATGCAGTTCAAATCCAAGGAGTTTATTTCTCTATATATATATATATATATATAATATATATATATATATATCAATGCAGTTATTTTTTATAACATGCTTAATTGAATAGAAAAAATGTGCTTTTGGAAAGGAAAGAAATCACTCTGTTGTACGCACCGAAATATGTAAAGTGAAAAACAGATAACACAGAGCAAATTATTTGAGGACCGTGACAGTGTACCTTGGTGAGATCCTCTAAGGACTGAGCGAAGGAGACCTCGGCCTCCACCATGTAAAACTCAGCCAGGTGCCGTCTGCTCTGGGAGTTCTCAGCACGAAAAGTTGGCCCAAATGTGTAAACCTTAGAAAAAGCCCTGGAACAAATATGAGTGACACGGCATAATTAAAAAAGCTCTTCAGTGCCAAAGTGTATCTCTTACTTTCTGAGGTGGAACGTACAAGCAGGTAGATGTGATCACCAGAAGATACATCCATATAGTTGATCTCACCCTGACATCAGTTCCAAGTGAAGCTGACCAGACACAGTGAGGAAGGCTGGGACAGAGAAGAAGTGCTCTTCTTCTTCATAGTCTGGGCCTGAGGGCTAGGAATCAAATCAGAGGATGTTGATGTTTAAAACAATATCATTAATACTTATGTTCACATCAGGGCTTTGATTCACAATTGCACACTGGAGGTGACAACACATACAATATAAGACTAGTAGGAGACACAGAAAGCTAAATTACAGACATGTTCATAATATTTTATTATTCATAAAATAATATTTCACAAAAAATTACCATTTGAGTAAATATCAATTAACCCATGTCACTTTTAAATCTCGAATAAATCTCACTACTTCCTCAAACAAATGCATTTTCACAAAAGAATAATAAAGTAACGTCATACTTGCACAAATGTAAGACATTTGATGTGAAAGTGCTTTAAATAATTCGGACTTTGAGAAAACACTCCTCATTTCTATAAATCATAGATGCCTGCCCAAGTGTTTTTATTCTTGCGAGAAAATAAAAATGTTTTTTAATTCAGGGTCACAGAGAGTGAGGAATTGATACACACTTTTACTTTAAAAACATTTAAAAACACATCTAGTAGATACTAACCTCAATTTTGAAGAGCTCCCCTGCCCCTTCACAGTCATTTGAGGTGATGACTGGAGTGTGAATCTGCAAAAAGCCATTTTCCTGGAAAACGAAATATATACAAATAAACACATACAGTCTTACTGCGTTCTATTAAAAACTCATCCACTGATGGTCTCACCTTGAAATACGAGTGAACAGCTGTAGTGGCCTCACTTCGTATTCTCAACAGGGAGCTAAAGGCATTTGTTCTACACCTGAGATGAGGAAACTGTCGAATATACTCAAGGCTGTGTCGTTCTTTGATTTTGAATGGAAACTCCTGAAGCAAAAAGACAACGCAACACAATTCTGTTACATTTCCTTTACAATGAACACAGTTATAACATAGATTAAGTTGAATTTCAAGCTAGCACATTAAGCCATCAAAGTGTGTGTGTGGTGTTTAAGAAAACGTACCAAAGGGTTGCATTTTCCTACGATATGGATTTGCTCTGCTTCCAGTTCAACTAGCTGTTTTTGGTTTGGGCTTTTCTTAAGAGTACCGGTGACTTCAACAGCACTTCCAAATGTGAGCAAGCTTTGTATTAGGAGAAGACAATGGAAGATTATAACTGTATAACTGCACCCTATATACCTGAAACTACATTGTCAATGATCAAGTAAAGGAAGTAAAACTGAAGGGCTTACGGATCATTCAGCTCTGAACTGGCGACGACCTGCAGTGATTGCAAAGAGCTTCCATCGTTCACATGCAGGAAGAGATGTGACTTCTGAGCTCTAACGGAGCGAACCCATCCCTACAAGTAAAACAAATAAAGAATAAACAGTGCATTCTGGTAATACAGAAGAAAAAAATGTTTTGTTTGCAAGTTAAGTTCATAAACCCTAATGTTGGTTATTTCATATGTTCACCCTTCATATTTCTCAACTTAATGTCAACTACATGTATATAATGTGATATCAATATACAGTTATACTAGAAGTGTCCTTTGTCATAGTTTAGACACTAGCTAGAATTCCAGTGAATTTTAAAAAGCATATATTTGACTGGACGGTGGTTTAGCAAGTCGCCATATAAAGTATATACATGCAGTTTTTAGTACGTGTAGAGTTATGTGTATCCTTGCATTACTAGCAAATAAAACTGAAAGCTTTTTAAGTTATTGAAAGGATTATGCTATTGTATAACTATTTTAACACACAATATTGGGCGCATGAGATATTGCTTTTTCTTTCTTTCATATTAAATTATATTTTAGGAGAAAAAACATCAGCCCTATGTGCTTAAACACTTATTTTAGTATTATGTATCCAACAAAAAAATTACCAGAGGAGCAACATTTGGTATTTGAACCCGCACACACATGCAGTGTAAAAACGATGTTTTATATGGAGGACATTTTGAATAACGCAAAGGCTTTCCCACATTTTCAAAAATGCTGACTTTGACTCCATATCCTTTCAACAAGTATATCAATAACATAACAACAACAATCACAATAAATGTTGTGATATGTTCTGTAATAAACATTTGCGAGAAATTGCTTTGTAAATAAATGTAACTAAATAATATAAAGAACATTAAGGTTTATTATAAGGTAATATGTATTAAATTCATGATAATAAAGTCACGTCAGTTTAGGTAAAATGCATGCTACTGGAGGATAATTGTTAGCACAGATTAGCAGAACATATCGTGTGATAAAAGCATGCGTGAATATTACCTGTACTTTGACATTAGCTCCCAACTCAGCACCTGAAACCGCTTCGGACACTCTTAGTTTTGCTGGTGTTTTCTTACAATAATATCGAATACTTAACAATATTCCCCGAGATACTGAGGTGGTTATGGCAACAGAAAGCGTTTTAGCTGCAGCTTGTAACATCGTAATAAACGCTGCACTTTGATACACAACCATCCGCTAAAAGCACAACATGTTGCGACAACTTAAAGGTTAAAAAAACATCAATTTTAACGGTATTTTTAAACGTTTTTCTAACACTTGACTTTCACGTTGTGTCACTTGTGTGGCAGAGAGACACTTCCTGTTTGGGTTTTCTTCTTCTTCTTCTTCTTCTTTGCTTTAATGGCGAATCGCTTCCACTTGGAGCATATATCGCCACCTACTGTTGATTAATGTAATGTTCATGTTAAATCCTTGTCCTCAGACCAGTGTTTTTGAGAAACTCGAAGATCAGCTTGTTTACTTGATTTCTTGAGTTACTTGCAAATATTGCCTTGAAATCCATGTCCTTGATGTTAAATTGTTCCAGTGCAGTTTTCAGAATAAGTCTTTGCTAAGTATATTCCGGGCAGCTAAAAAATACATGATGTATTGTCTCTGATTGTTGGCAACCATCACAATTGCCAGTTTTCCAATCAGATGCAGTGATTAGTTTAATCCCCCTGTTTGGGTCTTTCACCATTAGTCTAATTCAACCACGTGGATTACGGTAACCCAAATCAGATAGCGATGTCTCACAGCAGTCATTTTATTGCTCCAGGGATTTGTAGTGTTGTTCTGAGTCAATAGATGTCTTGTTAAAATCCATGTAAGATCCTCATGCCTTAATATAATTCTCATGGATGTTAGAAGTTTAGGATAACAATTTATGTATTTCTATTCAATTTCTTATGAGTCCGTAAAGACCAGCTACACATTTCAATCAGGTATTATTATAATTGTAATGGAAAAGCAGGATTCAGATGATGCAATCACATTTACGAACTAGAAGTTATACATAAATACAACCATCCACCAGTGTCATTTTCTACATACAGTGGAACAAATAATATATATTTTGAACACCAAAGCATAACACATGGAGAGATTAAAAAGTGTAATGAAGCAAGCAGAACAGCTATTACAACCGCATGGAAATCCTCTTTAATCTTCCATGATGTATCTGCCGTCAGTGTGAGGTCCATTTGTGCGTAAACCTCGTTAATCCAATACCCAGAACGACACTGGGTCTATTCCCACCATTTGCTGCTGGGGTAAATCAGATCATGCCAGCAATGTAATAAGATGCCATGGACAATTATTCACCTGGACTCGCCTGTCAGCTCTGGAGCCCCTGGTCTGGGACTGCCAGCAAACACAGAGCTGGATGTCTCCACCTCCGGCTGCTGATGACACATCATCATTAAACCCAACATGATGCATCTGAAAAGTCAGCGGGGTCATTGATATTAATTATCTCCTGCGTGGATGGAGCAATTATGCACATGGTCTCATCTTAATGGGTAGCAGAACAAATCTATTTTCCAATTCATTGAGTACAAAATACAATGGGGAATTAGCAGAGGTCATGATGTCTGTATCACATGTTTCTTTGTCTTGAAAGTTCAAGATGAAAGATGGTGACTATCAGACCTTTTGATACAACAATCAGGAAACAGTTATCTTTAATTTACTGCAATAAATCAACAAACCTTTGACGGATAGAATAGGTTAAAATATACATAAAAAATACCCACTTTTTAAGGAAAGGTGTCGATATTTTGTGTATAATCTGATTGTTATACTGCTAAAATCTGCTTTCCTGCTGTTCCTCCATCATAACGTGCAATATCTTACTTTACCGCAAGGTGGTGCTGTAGCTCTATGACACAATTCACTCCTTTGAAATCCCCATCTACTATGTATTCATTTACCCCTGAGTTTCTTCCAATATATTATTCATTTGCAGCTCCAAGGTCTACTTAAATGGAAACAAGCTGGCTTTGTTATGTTCTCTCTGCAGTTCGATCAAGAATAATGCAAAGGACCTGCTCGATTTCATTGGCAGCAGGTAGTCCAGTGCAGCAGTAAATTCAGGTAGCATCTAGGAACTGTTTCCTACACATCAACAGGAGCAGCAAGGTTGAGATCTCCATAGGGTTTACCTATAACCTGATTTGCATGTTTCCCTTTTTTTAAGGCTTGATACATTCAGTTACATCCTGCATGTGGGAGTGATGCTTGATTGCATATTGCACGTGTTAACATATCCACAGACAAACTCCCAGGAACCACATGCAACAAACAGTATGTCTGAATACAAATCTGTAAAACGTCTAAAATAACGAAGTGTCATCCTGATAACATTCTCCGATAACAACCAAGAAGAGAAGTCAAATGGTACTTGCAATGGGAGATATAGCTCTCTGTTCTTGGAGCCTCTACAGGTAGAATAGATGTTTGGCAGTGTCCTGACAACCTTATTTGGGCCTAACAACTTGTTAAAATCAATACCCGATTAGTCAGCAAAACAAAGGATTTAGCTGTAAAAGCTTGGATCTCAGGAGGATCACTGAACTTAAAGGGCAAGTGCATCCTCTGCTCTCAGCAAGCCCCCCCGGTCCACCCACGACAGCACCGTATCGACAGCATCTCCTGCACCTTCCACACTCCTTCATCAGCGCCTCCAAATATTCTGCATTCTCGAAAGAAAAGGTGCATTGATTTTATGTTACATGGCTCGTTAAGCGCTGATTAGACCATTATAGTGATGTGATTTCAGGGAATGGGTTTGGGTGACAGGCGGCCAAAAACAAATCAAAAGGAACTAACAACCCTTACTGAAAGAGATTTGGGCCGCTGCAGTTAATATCAGAGTCTTGTGTTTGTGTGGGTTGATATCTAATGGACCAGCTTCAATAGTCTAGAGAAAATATCCATTAACAGTGCTCAAGACTTTTACTGTTTGGAAATGACCATGATGTTCAACCAGTACAGGTAAATATGTTTTACATTGTATATATGTTTTTATTTTTGGATTGTTAGTCAAAATAAAAATAAAAAAGTGAATTTCACATTGATCTCCTGAAAATGTTCACTATTTAATGTAATTTAAGTGGCTAACTGTATTGATTGTAACACTAATTGTCAGATAAATCAATAATGAAAGTGGTCATTGGTTGGAACCATTATGTGTAAAGATTAATTTGCAGGGCACTCAAAAATATATATTTGTTTTTCACACTCTGATTGGAAAATTGCAAAAAAATGACAAATGCTTGTTCGAAAATTAGGTTGACAAGTTACTATGGAGCATAAGTCACATTCCAAAAAGTGCTTCACAAAGGCGGCACAATAAAACAAACAAGTCGTAAATCAATTATCAGGTTTAAAAGAAAACGGCCAAAAAAACAACCGAGTATCTCATATCAACATAGTGAATAAAAGGTAAGAATTGGGGAATATTGTTTAATTAAGGAAATAATAACAGTTAAAAAATATATATATAAGTGTGAAGCTGACAATTGAGCGGCCCGACCAAGCAAGGAGGCAGAGGCAGAACGTCCAAAAATACAACCCGGTGTGGGCATTTATTAAAACATGAACACATTACACACAGCCTCAATCCTGCTGCTGCTGCTGCTGTTCACGTGAGCCCAGCCTGCAGCCACCAGGATCTCACACACTCCCTGCCCCTAACAGCCAGGGAAACAGAGCCTAAATACCCACACACACTAATCAGCAACGAGACACAGGTGAGGGGGGAGGAGACAACACAGGGCACCAGGTGCACACAATCCAGCAACAGACATAACGGGAGGGGAAACACTTTTCAAACAGAAACATATAACTGAACAGAAGTACACACATACAAACCCAACTAAACGCAGTCAGCACTTGTACAATTAATGCCACTTAACGCTATGATGTCTACACCCCCCACATATTATTTGCACCTGGATTATTCTTAACCGCTGTCATTCTACACCAGCATAAGCACTTTCGGAGCTCTCGCTAACTCCCCTATCTTGTCAGGCGGAGCCGAGGACCCGACCAGCACCTGCCAGACGACATTTCAATTAATACGGTTTAATCCTTTAATAAATACTATCTCAATAATTAGTATACATTATATAAAATGTGCAAATATGCCATGCCAAACGGTACTGTGCAATCACGCTAATAAAGTGCAAAACTGTTCACTAAAGTGCTGAGTTACCAGGCCCGAAGCCGCCAGTTCACAGTGACGAAGTTACCTTCGTCACAATAAGCAAAGGAGCTCTGAGAATAGCCCGTTTTGAGAAGAAAATAAAAAGTGATCACTGTCCCAGTCAACCTGATCTCCAGAGTCTTGGGGCTCTGACAGCAAATGCTCTTGTTTAGTATTCAGCCTCTGGAACAGACAAAAGACCTCTGCTCAGGATATTGAAGTCTTAAAGTACTGATAGGTCAGATACACATCAGGGAGAGAGGGCATAAAGAGCCTTAAAGGTAATCGGTACAATCTGAAAATCTATTCTGCACATACTGGGAGCCAATGTACAGAAGCTAAAAGAGAAATTATGTGTTTAGATTTTTTGGATAAAGCAGGTTCTTTGATTAAAAGCCAAGCCGCTCAACTCTGTACAGTCTGGAGTCTATAAAACGATGATTAATGTTCCCCAAAGGAAGCTTGTATGGAAGAAATAAACATGGTCCCAAAGCCGATCCCTGAGGCACACCATATTTAACAGAAAGTAAATGAAGAGACACAGAGGGCGTGTTTGAAATTGCACAATACATACTCAGTCTGTATGTCCTGTATACTGCCTACTAAATTAAGAATACCATTACCAGCAGACTGTTCATTGGTTTTTCTACAGTGCATTTTAGATGTGAGCTCCAGTGTTTTTCCTCTTAACTGTACCTTAACCGCACTCACCATCATTCGTAATTATTTTATTCTACAGTAAATTATTAAAACTGTCTGCCTTGAAGTTCATCATTGGACAGTCTGAAGAGTTGCAGTGCATTTTGGTATGGTTGAATATGTTCAGAAAGCTGATTTATCATAGTCTGTCTTACTACTAATTATGAACCATCCAGATCTCTCAGGTCTTCAGGGACTGGTCAGCTTTCTGTCCCCAGAGTCAGAACTAAACATGGAGAAGCAGCGTTCAGTTATTATGCTCCAAATATCTGGAACAAACTCCCAGAAACCTGCAGGTCCGCTGCAACTCTGACTACTTTTAAATCCAGGCTGAAGACTTTTCTTTTTGTCGCTGCTTTTAATTGAACTATTCATATCTTAGACTGCACTGAAACTTTTATCCATGTAGTTTTTCTTTTAAT